GATAGCATCAACATATCCCAGAAGGCTTTTATAATGGGGTCTTTGGGCCCAAAAGCCTAAACTCTAAACCCTAAACCCTAAATTCTAAACTTTAAACTCTAAACCCTAAACCCTAAACCCTAAACCAAAAACCCGGAGCCACGAAACATAAAGACCAAAAGCTCCCAACCTCTACAAGGCCGCACCCTAAACCCAAAGGGTTCAGGGTTTAGGGTTTCTGCAAGCCCGAACCCTAAACCCCAGAATCCTAAACCCTAAACCTCTGCAAGCCCGAACCCTAAACCCAACATCCTAAACCCTAAACCTCTACAAGCCCGAACACTAAACCCCAAAACCCTAAACCCTAAACCTCTGCAAGCCCGAACCCTAAGCCCTATATCCTAAACCCTAAACCTCTACAAGCCCTAAACCTCCAAGCCTTAAACCTTGGGCCCTAGAGCCAAACGTGAAACCCTTGCGCTTCAAACCCTGTCATGTAGGGTCTAGGGTTTAGGGCTTCAGAAGCCGGAATAAGTACAAATATTATTCCTTAGGGTGCCTTTTTCTGTTTTTTGTTGTAACGGAGCCCAAAACCCTTTTCTAATCATCTTCTTCCATCGGGCTTTAGGGTTCCTATTCTACTGAAAGTATAAAGGCGCCGAAAATCGATTCTAATTGTCCAGGTCCCACATAGAAAGCCCACAGACCTGCTAAATCCAGCGAGATTCTCACTCACATGACGCGACACAGAGGCAGGCAGAAGCGGGCCCATGGCGGTGTAGAGCCAGTTGATGGGGCCAATGACATGCTCACCTCTTCTCTCCGGCTTCTATGCTTTTCTCCCTACTTAGAGTGGGGCTCATGGCTGCTAATATAATGTAGGGGCCTAGAATAGGGCTTGGGATATACTACACTATAATTGTAGTAAGGAGCGCCCCCAAAATAGTATTGGTTAAGGTTTTGGGTACCGTGAAACCCTTAAGTAACGAACCTTCTTAAACGAACCATCTGAGATGTCCGTCAGTCATGAGAAGAAGCCCGCAACATCTTGAGAAACGAGTGGAGGCGCTTTTGCGACAGAGAGCCTACTTAGTATCCCCTGCAACTCTTCTGGGTAACCCGAAAACTGTGTTGACAGTGTCCAGCTACCAAGTCTACATCTCCCTAAACCCTAAACCCTAAACTCAACCCTAAACCCTAAACTCAACCCTAAACTCAACCCTAAACCCTAAACCCTATACCCTAACAATCTAAGTCCTGGTCGTCGCCTCAAGAGCGGATTCAAGTCTGGACTGCATAGGGCAACGGCACACTTCCTCCCAGCCTCAAGATGTAAGCCCCAACAGCCAGTGCCCATGTAAACGCGTCTCAAACTTTATAAAGCCCCTAACCCTCGATTCCTGCATTCGCATTCAACAGCCCCTGCAAAATGGGAGTTGTGATGGGTAATGTAGGATTTGGATCATCAACCGCATGACCAGGGACCCTAAAACATCCACAAATGCGCTGAGGGACTCCGAACCTATAGTTTCGAATCCTGCACTCCATGCTGCCTAGTATGCTACTTAGTATGCTACCTACGGTCTCCATTGTCGTTCCTTTTTTGGGGTACCTTCCAGGACCCTAAGTATAAAACTGGTCTTAAACCAGGAGCAAGACAAAAACTACAAGTGAGACTCTAGCTGATCCCCTCAACCCTAAACCCCCTAAGCCCTAAACTCTAAACCCTAAACCCTAAACCCCCTAAGCCCGAAAGCCCCGTGGACCTGAAGGGAACACAGAGCTAAACCCTAAACCCTAAACCCTAAACCCTAAACCCTAAACCCTAAACTTGACCAAGTGGCCATCTCTCCGGAGCATTGCCAGAACTGTTTCTCGTGCAACGTCTTCGCTCTTGCTTACGAAGGGCGGAATCCTGTGGGGCATTTTTGGGATTGGTACGGTTCGGTTTAGGGTTTAGGGTTTAGGGTTTAGGGTTTAGGGTTTAGGGTTTAGGGTTTAGGGTTTCGGATTGGTATGGTTCGGTTTTGTAGGCTTTGGGTCCTTAACCCTAAACCCTTCTAGTTGCAAGGCTTTGTTTCACCTCTCCGCTTTAAGGCTGCAGGCCACAAGCGGGGATGGCATGTGCAGTTTTCCCCAGGTGCGGTATAGCTACGCTTAGAGCTTACGGCTTAATGGTGGGGCATGTTGTTCCCGTTCAGACTTCGCATGGTTTCGCTTGTCGTGTTTTGCTGAAGGGTTTAGGGTTTAGGGAAGGTTTAGGGTTCAGGGTTTAGAGTTGGAGAGGAACGTTCTGGGCGAGATAGATTTCGAGCTTCGAGATGATAGCATTCGTCAAGTAATCACCCTCATCGAGATGATAGCATTAGCCGAAGTAAACACCCTAAACCCACCCTAAACTGGCCCTAAACCCTAAAGCGGCCGCAGGAAGAGTCGTAAAAAACCGTGCGCCTGAAGATCAAAGCCGCCTCTTCACCTGAGCGGCTCAGTCGTCAAGGCATTCCTTTAGGGTTTGAGGTTTGGGTTTTGGGTTTTGGGTTTTGGTTTAGGGTGTAGGGTTTAGGGTTTGTGGTTTAGGACCCTGTTCTTGGCAAAGCACACGACAGTTTACATGACAGCTCGTTGAGGGTCCTCACTTCAGGGAGGCATCCCGGTTTTCATGCATTGAGGCTGCGAAAGTTTCTTTCCTCACACAGTCCTGCACGAGACCCTAGACCGCCTAGACCCTAAACCCTAAACCCTAAACCCTAGACCCTAAACCCTGAACCCTGAACCCTAAACCCTAAACTCTGACCCCTGAACCCTAAACCCTCGACGAGACCCTTAGACCATTCAAGAACGCGCCTGCAGCGGACTCGGATTCCGAACGGGCTCTGTGCAGTGTTCAGGTTCCCTAAACCCTCAACCATAAAAACCCAAACTCTAAACCCCAAACCCAAACCCCTAAATGCCCAAACCCTAAACCCTTATAGTTCTTTATCTTGGGTTTTCACGTGGCTTGTTGCCGGCTTCTGATCTCCAGCTTTTCGGTT